GGGGAACAAGTTCAGGGAGTCAGATGTCAATTGACATTATATTTGAATATTTGAAGATTATCGTTATTGGGGAAGCAGGTAAGGGGAAGGGAGTTTCACAGATAGTATGTGCGGGAGAAGAAGCTGTTTGAAAAGAAGAGACAATTACATTTAACCGTTTTGACACTTATATCAAAATACATAGTTGATAAATGCTGGTAAATGTCAAATTCTCACAGTATTTGGTGTTATATAAGAGACCATGTTTTTCACAAAACAAGGTTAAAAAAGTATTATTTGCCAAGTTGAGATATATAGTACTGTAATTTTCAATGTAAATAGTAAGAGGTGGTGGCTTATATACCATGAGATAGTGATTTTTCCAAGCATAGCTCAAATGTGGCACAAGGCCGAAAGTATGGAGCACCCAGTGAAGATCGAACTCACTACTCAGTCATAATTGTTCTAGCGAGACAAGCTTGCTAACCATTACAACACCCCTGGTAGATTTGCACAAGATTATCAAAAATAAATATTGATGTGGGTCTCCCAGTGAGAAAGATTTCTTTTAGGGCCATTGACACTGTTATAGACAAGCGTATGGTTGCAAGAAAGAAATACGACAACAGCAGAAATAGATTTACGTGGTTTATTTCAACAGGAACATATGGGTTTGGGACAGCTACCTTGTGGTAAAGTTCATAAGCCGGCTTCAGATCTAGGTCGATCTCTCATAGTAGTTCATACATATTGACGGTGGTTGGTGCACTCCTGCTGACAGCTGCTGAATGCTCGGCCTGACCGTGACAGGTCTCCTTTGTGGCCAGCTGTTGACTGCTTGTTGAACTTCCATGTGACCCCTTTTATAGCATTTTTTTTGTGGCTTAACAGGCTCGAAAAACGAAGCGAGTATAATTAGGAGGGAAGCATTTTTATTGGTCGAAAAATAGAACACTTTAATTATTATTTTATTTTTCGACCGGAACTCATGTGTTGGGAACATTTGTAATTGAAGGTAATGGTCATTTTGTGACGGGGTTTTGTCCCGTTCACATCCGGCACTTGCTCTTGAGTATTTGCCTGTAAATCAGCCGAGATATGTCTTATTTTATTTTATAACAACACTTATACTTAGAATCAGAAAGAGACAAGTGAAATTATAATGAGAAATGAGTGTTTTGAGAATCTCTGATAAATCTAGTGCATTCATTTTTTCACAAATATCCTTGAGAAAGATATGAACTGCTTTTAGCACCCAGCTAAATACTAAGGTAGATTGGGTTGTCTAGACTTGAGTAGTAACCATTCTAAGAGCAGGACATCTCTGAACTGTGGCAAAGGCAACATAAAACCATTCCAGTATCATTCCCAATAAGTCAGAGATAATAAAGAAAATGAAGCGGAGCCATGATTGCCTACCTCCAGTAAAAATATGGCGCTAAATCTCATTACAAGGGGGTACTTCTATTCACTGAAATACCCTACTAAAACATGAAATACTCCTAAAACTAATCAAAATATCAGATAAAATTTTAATCTATAAGTTATCATTAAGTTGTGATAATACAAAAAAGTACTTTAGTAGGTGATATAAAATAAAAAATAAAATATATTATCTCTCTATATTTCTGAGATGAGGTATTGTAACTATTTACATTGTTTAGATTATTGTCCTCCTATTTGTGGCCATTTTTCATGATGTTTCGGTCTTTGCACGCTCTGGCCTTCTTCAGGATCTGTCTATATTTCTGAGATGAGGTATTGTAACTATTTACACTATTTACATTATTTGGATTGTTGTCCTCCTATTTGTGGCCATTTTTCATGATGTTTCAGTCTTTGCACGCTCTGGCCTTCTTCAGGATCTGTCTATATTTCTGAGATGAAGTATTACAACTATTTACACTATTTACATTGTTCGGATTGTAGTCCTTCTATTTGTGGCCATTTTTAACTATTTACACTATTTATATTGTTTGGATTGTTGTCCACATTTTTATTGTCATATTCACAACATTTCAGCTGTTGTATGCTCCAGCATTCTTCAGGTAATATATGTTGGAATTTCAAACTGCCATGGACACATGGCCCAGTGGATAAAAGCATAAATCCAAAATGTGAGAGACCCAAAGATTTGTGAGTTGAATACTTGGCCACTGGGGAGCAAAAACTTGGAGAGTTCAATTACTAAAGAGAAATAACTGAAACTGTAATATCCAGAAAAGGCACGGAATGAGGAACTAGAACAATTTACTCCTGTAGACTAAAAATAAAAGGTTCAGTTCAAAATTTCAACTTATATCACCTGAAAAGACCGGAGCGCACAACAGCCAAAATGTGAATCTATATAATACTAAAAGTCTGTGGTGCGTCTGCCTGGCACATAATGCTTAAAGTTAATCTGATTAAAATGAATAAGATTTAAAAATATGAGTTCTTTATACAGTAAGTATTTTTAACTTTCTTTAAATAGACAATTTTTTGAATTAAAATATTTTTAAGTTAAAGACAGACACAAAGAAATCCCGCTTATTCTGTTCTTTGTAGAGTAATAATTTATATTTCAACTTTCTTTAAACAAACAATATTTTAAATATTTAAAAAATATTTCCGAGTGAACTTCTAAACCAGACCAATGATGACATGAATGAATTGAAATATTTAACTGTATTGTAATAAAATTAAATTTCATTTCAATGGAATGTAGAAATCAACTTCAATGTTTTAGGACCTGAACCGTCAATGACTCAATGAGTCACAGGTAGTCTAGTATGGCAATAAAGATGAGGACAACAGTCCGAACAATGTAAATAGTGTAAAATATATTAATAGAAAGACAAACACATATAAAAATATACATTATTATCCAAATCCTATATTGACAAACTAGAATTATGATACATTTATACATAAATTATGAATGCGAACACTGCTTGACAATTCAAATGCATATTAAACCTGATTAAACTAATGAAAATCAAACAACACAAAAATAAAAATACAAATATTTCTTTTTCTCCATACCTCATTCTCTGATGAAGGTTTAATAAAAGTGAAACATGTTAGATTTATAAACATTTCCTATTTGTTCTTTATTCTATCATTCTGTTGGATCCCAATCTGTATTTGATCCAATTTTGTCTTCTATTCTAAATTTGTTATAACTGATCCATATACTGAGGTATTTGAAGTGTTTTGCATTTATTAATTCCACATCCTGAAAACTCTAGGTAAATTTTACTTTTTTCAGTGAAACTGTCAAAAGTTATAAAGTTTCAAATTCAATCTTTCCAAAATATAAATTTTCCTCCAAAATATTTCAGAATTAAAAAAAAAGAAGCTCAGGAATGATTGAAATATTTCTTATGAACATTTTTAGTGATGTCTTCTAATTCAGGAAGCAAATTTGACAGTGATTCAAAGACAAATCAAAGATGATAAGAAATGTAATAGAAGCAATATTTGTCTTGGAGAAGTTGATGAGCTCTCTTGCCAATATGGAATCACAGAAAAATATCCTGGTTTTAATGATTGACTTGTCTTTTTGATGTCAACTTATGAGTCATTTCATGCTGAAATTTATATAGATAAACTAGAATTATGATACATTTACACATATAAATTATACATACAAACACTGCTTGACAATTCAAATGCATATGAAACCTGATTAAACAATGAAAATCAAACATCACAAAAATAAAAATTAAAAAAAACTCAGGAATGGTTTTAATGAGTGATTTGTCTATTTAATGGCATATCAACACTTTATGGGTCATTTAAAGCTGAAATTTAATTTTCTTGGGAGCTTGGAAGTAATAAAAATAGATTTTACACAGTAGATGATAATCAGCTTTTGTATATATACATGTTTGTGTGGACATAATTACTAGAGGTGCTGATGTGTGTCCTATGTTGTGGCTTTGTTGAAATTATACAGGGTGCCCATAAAGTTTCTTTACAGTTTAAAAAATATATTACAAATGCAATTGATGTGGCACTACAACTAGATGGCCTTCAACAAACCATCATTTTGCCAGCAAGATGGTGCACGAACACATTGGGGTCTGCATGTTGATGTGTTTCTAAATCAAATATTTCCAGACCAGTGGATTGGAAGAGATGGCCCAATTCCCTGGTAACCTCATTCACCAGATACCATTCTCCTGGAATTTTACCTATGGGGTTATGTTAAGGTTATCGTGTATTGAACAAAGACACAGGATATCACTGATCTAAAGCTATAGATCATTAATACCTTGCCACCATTGATGAGGCTATGCTATAGTGAACATGGCAAGAAATCAAGTACCATCTTGGTGCATTTCATGCAACTAATGGTGTCCATATAGAGGCGTATTAAATTAATTAAAAAGAACTTCAATATCTACTCCTCATTTTGTAACAATTTCCAGATATTTATCTGTTCATTTGCTTTTGTAATAAATTTTTTAAACTGTAAAGAGACTTTACAGACACTATGTATTTTAGAATACGGACTGATTTAAGAATTTGCAGGATGTTATATGGCTCAATGTCATGAAAGTTCTGTCATGATGGTCATTTGGTAGTATAGTAAATGGATTTGGATGAAGTCACTACAATTTGTTAATATGTGTGTATTTTCAGCAATTTATATAAAAATATATTGCTGGTATTTTTACTATAAATATGTATTTTTATACTTTGTTTTGTTTTTGTTTGAGGATTTGTATTTACCCAGAGCTGGGACCCTAACAGGTGCTACTACTCTGGGTTAGAGTGGACTTGGGAGCAACACCAATCCAGAGGTGTTTCCATGCTCCTCAAAATCTTCTATCTGCAATCACCTTGCTGCCTGATGTAGTTTATCGACATCCTCAAGAACACTATGGTCTTAATGGTAGCCAACAAGCAATTCTCAAAGAAAGTGAGAGTTGCTTCCAAGACCAAAATGAGCAGAATTTCTGGTAATAAAGAAATGGATTTAAATAATTTTTCTAAGTACATTTAAGTTTTTTAGTTATTTCTACTTTATTTACCTGTACGGATAAATCTGCCGATATTTCTCTTTGAAGGGCCACTTCACTGGTGCCTAAAAAGGAAAATTTAAAAAGTGACTATATGAAAATGTGGCATAATATACAAAGAAATATTTGGGCAAGTGAATGACAAAATGAAAAAAAAATTGTGTGTTAAGTGTTTTGTTTTTCAAAAGGACATCTTCAGACTAGATTCTTTTATTGATGGAATCACACAGTATGGCAGAAATACCTCCCACATTTTAAAATGTCACCTGCATGGTGCTAGTGAACTTAGGCAAATGGCAATGGTGATATCATTTACCTAATGTCTAACCATTTTTGTTTTCAGATACCATCAGTAACTATCATGGTTTGGACCAGTGCGCAATGTTCATTTGCATTCCAAAAGCTTGCAGAATACTAAAATTTATTAAGATCTACAAAGGACAGGAAGTTATAGAGAGACATGATTGCCTACATTTTGTGGAGACATGCCACATAAAGAAGAAGATATTAGGTTAGTGCAAAAATAATGACGTAATAATGTCGTTTTTTGACATTAAAAAATACGTCAAAAAATTACATTATTACGTCATTATTTTTGCACCAACCTAATACATGTCTTACTAATTAACTAATTAACCCATAACTGGGGCACAAGAGGTGGATTCATTTCATGTGTGCGTAATTGAATATAACAAACTTGACTGGAATTGGAACTCGACTCACTGATTAGCAATTCTGAGCCATATATGTCACGTCGCTCTCCACATCTAAGCTTACAGCACCTGGTATTCCCAAGCTGTCACCCATCAAGGGTTATCTGCAGCGAGACGGCTACCACAATACAATAAAGTCAATATATTTATTTCTTATATCTGGACACATATTTCTCTGGAATGCGAGGGTGCACCAGCGCACCCAGGTGCATCATTTGAGAACCACTGGTCTAAACATTTTCCATGTAAAAAAACAAAAGAGTAGTGAAAGACTTGCAACATTTCATCTATGGAAAAAGGGATTGTAAGGTCAAAACAATTCATCATCCACAAGGACGTTGAGATGCTTTTGGACTATCAAGACTGAAAAGTGAAGACTGTGCAGCTCCATTTTCATCCTGATTTGGCTCTTGTAAAAGTAGAGGATAGCAGTAGTCTGGTACTTTTTTTTTTTAAAGCAATTCACCCCAAGCAAGGCGGAAGTGCCACTAGTACCCAAGGGGTTGCAGAGGATTGAGAACAAGAGTAAAGAGGTATTTTTGAGTGAAGGATACAGAGAAGGACAGGGAACATGATCAAGGTGTCAAATGTTGATTGACATTACACTTGAATATTTGAAGATTCAAGTCATCGGGTAAGCAAGTAAGGGGAAGGGAGTTTCACAGACAGGAAGTGCAAGATAAGAAACTTTTTAAGTAGAAGAGATGGTTACATGTAACCGTTTTGAGAGTGAAAGGGTGGAACCAAAATGCCAGCCTGGTAGCACACTTAAATTCATGCAATCTGGGAACCAGTGAAAGTAACTCGTCAGAAGAGTTGTAAGAGTTCCACTTGAGATTTCGGTTGGGCTTAAGTCCCAATAGGTGTTCAAGGCATAAGGCCTTCCTGAGAAGGAGTCCACACTTCCATAAAAATAGAGGAGAGAAACCTACACTACAAAAAAAGAAGTACCTGTAGTATTAAAATCCAAAATTAAATCAATCAAGAGCAAAATGAATAAATCAGTAGAACTAAATGAAATTAGTCAAGACTTAAATTCAGTAATATATATATATATATATATATATATTTAAGTTATGAAGAATTTGGTAAACCGAATTGGTAAATCCAAGGAGGATGAAATTCTGAGAGCTCAATGTGAAGAACAGAGCTAATATTTAATGAAAAACAGACACTTTAAGGTACTATTACAAAAGGATTTTGGTGAAATAAATTATTGTAATGGTACCTTAAAGTGTCTGTTATTAAAAATATATATATATATATATATATATATATATATATATATGAAAATTTCTCTGATTTAACCAGTAGATAAGACAATATTCAAGAATAAAAATGACAATAGGAAAAGTAGTAATTGCTGATGCATTTCATCCCATGTGGACTTTATCAAAGCAAAATATTTTGCTTTGATAAAGTCCACATTGAATTTCAAAAGGTGTCAGCAATTACTAGTTTTCCTATTGTCATTTTTATTCATGAATATATATATATATATATATATATATATATATATATATATATATATATAAAATGAGAATTGGAACAAAAAGCACCTAATATTTAATATAGTGATATTTATTTATATGAATTCTTATGGAGAAGAATTAAAAATAATTTGTTGTTTTCTTTTTTTTTTAAATTTTTTTTACTTCAACTGGTTTTGCTTACCTTTTCAAAAAGTTTTTAACTGTTTCTATTTCCATGTGTTGAAGCTTATGTTTTGAACAAATGAAAAAAATGAAAATCAAAGGGCGTTACTGGCTATATATGCCGTTTATGGTAAGGTGAATTTGGCAGAATTTATTTATGCAATGAATTAAGTATTGGTTTTGATGTCATGGAATAACCTGCCACCCCCATGAGTGGTGGCACAATAGGTAGCAACCACTTATAAGTATTCATGAGGACAGCAGATGGGAGAGTCAAGTGGCCTTCCGATAACAGCATGCACACAATTGTACTGACTTGCAATGACCATGCACATAACTATTACTTCTTTGCTTGTTGTACTGGTTTCTACAATAAACCCGTTACTATTTATCCACCATGTTTGTCCATTCCATATTCCTATTAGCACTGAATATAACTGTTTTGAACTTGTTGATGAAAAATGTTTCCTTATTAATCCACCTTTGTTCAGTGGTTCTGTAGTTACACTGGTAGAATGGGGAAACCATTAAAATTAGGTAGATTTTGTCCTCTGCATTTCTCTATATGTTGGCTAAGAGGTATTTTTCTGGTGTGAAGGTCCCTAATTTGTTGGTGATGAACTGTCATTCTTTGCCAGAGTGACTGGCTGGTTTGGCCAATGTAATACTCATGGCAACCTTTGCATGTAATTATGTATATTAGATTCTCCAAGTCGCATGAGAAATCATTTTTAATTTTGATCTGTGTTTGATTTGAAATTCATGGTTATTTGATAGGTAGTTACATATCCTACAAAGTGGTCGGTTTTATTTTTTTTCACCTGAAGGTCTTTGGTTGCATTTTGCACTGGTTAGTATCTTTTTTTAGTGATTTTAAGTTGTCATTTACTTTTTATGATTGGATATTTTTGTGATAGGTTTTTCATTTTTTGTCCTTTAGTAGGATTGGTAGATTTAGTTGTAAGTATGTGTGTAGATTTTTGTGTTCTTTGGGTTGAAAGTTGAGATATAAAGAATGATCTTTTTTTTTTCTTTTTTTCCTTTTGTTTTTCAGAGTATGTGGATATTTGTTTTGCTTTTTCAATACTATTGTTGATCAAACTTTGGGGGTATTTTCTCTTGAGTATTTTTTTCCATCTCTTCTAATCTGTGGTCTCTTGTGGTTGCATTTGAGACTATTGTACATATTCATTTGGTTAGGTTGAGTGAGATGTTGGTACGAGCATGATTCGGGTGAGATGTGAAAAGGAGATATTGTCAAGAGTCAGTTTAAAGTATATGTCGGTTTCTAGTTTAGTGTTTGTTTTTGTTATTAACATGTCTAAAAAAGGACGTTTTTTTTTGTTACTGTACACCATAGTGAATTAAATGCTAGGATTTGTATTATTAATGCATGTTTGGAATGTCTTTAGTTTATCCAGACTTCCATTCCACAGAATGAAACAGTCATCTAGATATCTTTTTCAGTTTTCTTTTATGTTGCAACTCAAGTCATTCCCATAGATTTCCAAGGTTCTGTCATAGATTTTTAGTTCATGGTATCCCATGACAAGATTGGCATATGTTGGTGCAACCTTTGTCCCCATAGCTCTTCCTGACTTTTGTTGGTAGGATGTTACATTGAACAAGATATAATTATTTTTCACAATGAATTCTAGGCTTTCTATGATGAAAATTTCCTTTGACATGATTTGGTAACTCATAGGGAAAGGTTTCTAGCTAGTATTTAATAGCCTCTATTCCATAGTCATGTGGGATGTTGCTCTATAAGTTTTAATTCTTCTCTGTAAAAATTCATATATTATAAATAAATATCACTATATTAAATATTAGTTGCCTTTTTTATTCAATTCTCATTTTAGTGTGTGTGTATATATATATATATATATATATATGTGTGTGTGTGTGTGTGTGTGTGTGTGTGTATAGAGAATTCTTTAGTTTACAGTTATACTCTATTAATATTTTATATTTTACTAGCAGCATGACCCAGCATTGCCCGTGCCCGATTCAAAAATTGTACGACTCATACAGCAATCGCTATCACTTGACTTAAAATATTTTTGCCCTTCCTTGCCTTTAAAGGAGTGCCTTTTGCCATGCTGGTGTTGCTACATGCCTTACTTCTTGTCTATCTCACACTGCAAATTTTTTCTAAGCTCTATACTAAACATTAAATCTGTTACGAAAAAAGAACTAAACAAAATGAACACAAAACGATCAGCTTTAAAAAAGGACTTGTAACTGAAAAAAACGAATGAAAAAAGAATGTTAACAACAAATACTTTTTCACACCCAACCCAGTTCTGTGGAATCAAAATCAACGTTGAGTTTAAGCAATCGAATGAGCCAATTGGAGTAAAGTGCCATGCAGATTTAAATTTTTCCCACTTGTGAAAATGCAGCTATCGATTTTTTTGAATGCTAGCATGCTAGTTAACATTCATGTCAGTCAGCTATTGGCTCTCATGCTGGCCAATAGAATCTTCCTGCCTATTCTTGGCAGCCAGCTATAGGCTCTCCCTCTGGCCAGTAGAAAATGGCCACAAACTACATAAAAACTGCCGTAGAAGCATGAAAAAATCGATTATTTCCACTATCGATGGGAATTGGGAAATGCAAAGTCAATCTTGGCCTTTCTGCTAACTTGGAGCATGTGCATGTAAATTTTGGTGCAAATCTGTCGAAAATTGCGGCCATGCATTCGTTACACACACACACATCCTGCCTTTTATAGATAGAGATTGATTATTATCTTATTATTTTATTATTTATATGGTTTATCTATTTGATCTAAGTATCTTTTATTTTCAGTTTATTTTTATTTATTATAATTTATTTAATTATTTATTTTATTATTTCAATTTTGTACTTTATAAATTTGACATGTTTTCCTTTTTTATTTCTTAAAGTGTCTTTGTATTTATATACTATATATAATTATTGTTTAAATACATTGCCTCTTCTTTGAGAACGCCAAATGTCTGTCAACCGTTACAATGTATCCAAAATTCTCCAACAAGTAGATATAGTTTCCAGTTAAATTTAAATCCATTTTCCATAATATCTTACTTAATGAAACTGATTTTCATTGGTTAAACCTATCCACAACATATCTTGTCTTGCCTTTTTTACATTTCTATATCATCCTCATATTCATCTTTATTTTAGGTCTTTCTTTTCTTCTTTCTTTTCTTTTTATCTTTAGTGACTATATCATGTCTTCCTTTCATTTATTTTTTGGCTATATCTTATGTCTTTCTTTTCCTTTTGAGAAGATTATATTATATGTCTTTATTTATTTCTTCCTTTTTTTTGGCAGAGAAGAGATGTTTTATAAATAATTATGAAAATTGTTATAACCATCATTTACGCAATGCCTGATAAGATGCTATGATGTGCATCAAAACATTAATGCATTTATGTAGCAAAATTTTGTATGTTTGAATGTAATAACCTATGATACATACATATGTATGTGTATATATATATATATATATATATATATATATATATATATATATATATATATACACACACACATATACATACACACACATGTATACATACATCCCTATATATATATATACATATATATATATATATATATATATATATATATATATATATATATATACACACACACATATATATGTATCTACATATACACAAACACATATGTATGTATGTGTGTATATATATATATATATATATATATATATATATATATATATATATATATATGTTTTATATATATATATATATATATATATATATATAGGCACACACACACTAATATGTATCCACACACATATATATTTCCCTTGGCAAAAAAAACAGAAAATTTACTTATATACATCATATAATTCTCTTTGTTCCTCAGTTAGTAAGTTCATTAGCATATGTGTTAAACCCTGTCATTGCTGCAGATAAATAATGAACTATACTATTTTGATTACAAGGTAAAATAGAAGGAAAAGATATATCATTGATGCATTTGGTTTTAGTTCAAAAAAGAAAACATGCATAATAATAAGGGAAGATAGAGAAAGTAATAATGCTCTCAATCAATTAATGTCTACTTCAGTAAAATGGAAGATTTTGTCAATTTTTAATCTTTTCATTTGTACATTAAATAATGATCTGCATTCATACTTATGATTGTTATTGCAATATTTTTGTTAAAGTTGGTAAGCTCAAATATTTTACAATGCATTAGGCAATTTTCCACAGGTATCTTATAGTTGTGGAACTCTCAAGGGGCTTATTCAGACATTAATTTAAGGATTATGATTCTTTACAATATTAAGAGAAAACCTGAAATTTTAGTGGGCATCTGCACGTATATACTTACTGTTTGACCTTGATTCTGGAGATTTCAAAGGGTACTTGGAAAAAAGCTTTCTGATTTCTCGAGAGCTGGATTCATGGCCGGCTTTCACAGCAGAGACATCTGATATAAAAAAGAAAAAACAGAAACCAATTGGTTAAAAACGCTTAACGCCCAAAGCATTTTGGAACTTTAATGGTGGGTAGTACCAACTAATTATCACAATGTGAAACATTAATGGTAGTTAATGATCAATTTTTTTTTCTCTACAATCAGAAATAAAGTTCTACACAAAAGTATTTCACCAATTATTTTTGCTATTCCTTTCTGATTAATCATTGTGAATTTGATTTATAGACATTTACCAACTAAGTGCTAGTATGTGGATGACACTGACAGACTCAGAAGAAAAGCTAAAAGAACTTCAAGATAATGTCTATATTTCTGTGATGAGGTATTATGTACATTATTTACATTATTTGGACTATTGTCCTCATCTTTGTCGCAATATTTATTACAACGTTTGACCTTTCAGTATCTGTCTATATTTCTGTGATGAGGTATTATGTACATTATTTACATTATTTGGACTATTGTCCTCATCTTTGTCGCAATATTTATTACGTTTCGGCCTTTCAGTATCTGTCTATATTTCTGTGATGAGGTATTATGTACATTATTTACATTATTTGGACTATTGTCCTCATCTTTGTCGCAATATTTATTACAACGTTTCGGCCTTTCAGTATCTGTCTATATTTCTGTGATGAGGTATTATGTACATTATTTACATTATTTGGACTATTGTCCTCATCTTTGTCGCAATATTTATTACAACGTTTCGGCTTTTCAGTATCTGTCTATATTTCTGTGATGAGGTATTATGTACATTATTTACATTATTTGGACTATTGTCCTCATCTTTGTCACAATATTTATTCCAACGTTTTGGCCGTTGTATTCTCCGGCCTTCTTCAAGTGGTTGGAATGTCGAACTGAACCCTTTATTTCGCTCACTGGTGTAGACTGTTCTAGTTCCACTTGCCATGTTTAATGGATGTCAGTTATCAGTTATCTCCTGTTAATTTCCCTCTGAAAGTTCTCCACTGCCTTAGCTGGGTATTGAAATGTCTTTTATTCAAAAATATATATATATATATATATATATATATGTTGTGATGGCCAATGGCCATCAATAATTAAGTATAACTTAAGACTCGAATGTTGATAGACAGTATTTAATCATAAACGCAAATAAATACTTAACAACAACAAAGAAGTAAAAGTCAACCAAAGATAATTAACCATTTCAGTGAATACCTTGTTAGTAGCGAGGTTTGGCTTAACGTCCACTAAATCTTAAATCAAAACCTAAATCATTGATGCACAATAATTCACACTAATTCGACTGGATAGTTCCAATCAATAGTCACTCATTAATCACTGCAGTCAGTAGCCTGACACCACTATTTATACACCTGGTGGAAAACATATCCATAAGTTCAGAGTGTCACTACTATAACATAGCTTCCCTGTACCAATTTTATAAACATTTTCATGGTAAATGTTCTGATGAGCTTTCCACAATGGTAGCTAGACTTTATGAATTTAAGTGCAGTACTAGATTGGCAGCAAGTTCTCATCATTTGATAGTTGAAATGGCTAGATGTAAGTTCTGTGCTAACTTCTTGTTTGTGAAACTCTCTCATTTTCTTGCTTTGATCTTCAAAAATGGAAATGCAATATTCCTGATCTGTTATTGTTCTTTTATGAATAATGTTTTTTTTTTGCTACATTTTTTCTCACACAGTAACCCCTTGTGTTTAATGGCTTTATTTGAGATGAATATTTTTTTAAATTTATAAGTCTACCATTCATCTCTGCATTGAATATTGATGCCACACCTGGTCGGGTGTTTCTGATATATTTTTAGAGATACTTGATAAAATCCAAACAATCTGCAATGTTATTGGTCCTGACCAGACATCTCGCTTTCAGTGATTTTTCCACCACTATAATGTAGCTTTCCTGTTCCAATTCTATAAATATTTTCATGGTAATTGTTCTGATGAGTTTTCCTCTATGGTACTTAGACTTTATGAATTTATGTGTAGTGCTAGAAGAACAGCAAACTCTCATCAATTTAAAGTTGAAATGACTCGATGTAATCATAAGTTCTATGCTAACAATTTCTTCTCTCGCACTTCTCGCTTGTGGAACTCTCTTCCTGCTTATCTTTTGTCTTTTATTCTCTCCTTTATAATATTTTCTTTTTCTCAAATTCTCCCAGTAACCCTTTGCATCTTAGTGGCTTTATTGTCATGCTTGGGGTGAAATGATTTTAAAAAAAAACAAAAACAAATAAACTATGAAATCTTTACCGATTTTCTGCAATTGCAAGTGGTCAGTCTTTAAACCCAGTCGGGTTATTCTAGATTAGGCTGTTTTCTACCAAGGTTATAAGTTAGGCTTGGTCACTATATGGGTTAGTCTAGAATATAACTTCCCCACCTTTCTCATGTAATAAGATGTATATTATTACATTGACAGATGATAGTTGGAGATACACTGGATTGTGCAATGTCATACATCTGCAGAGGTTTCTTATGTGCAAACTACATCTCAATATAATTCCAATTACTTTGTCTACATATTACTTGACATAATGTCTGGATGCCAATTGAATTTGGTCAGACAATACCTAATTACAGCTGAATGAATAACTCTCAGCCATTATTACCAATTTGGAAACTGGAGCCATCACATAACATACTAATAATAAAAAAAAACATTTGTTTATATTAATGGTAAAAGAGAGTATAAACTACCCCTGGGTGGGTATTGCTTAGATTAAGCTATTTTATACCCTGATGTATAAAGGGGGCTTGGCCCAATAGTAGTCTGGGGTTTATTCTGGACTAAGCTAAACAGAAACCCAGGTATCTTTTGGGAGAGGTTTAAATTTTGGCTGCTATACTGGCTAGAATTTAGATAAAAAAATTAACCATATATATATATATATATATATATACACAGGTAAGATGAGAATGAATAGAGTACAATTCCAATGTTCATAACATTTAATTTAAAAGAGGCTCAATACAAAGTAGATCAATATTATTTATTTTAGGATATTACACTGAAAACATGTCAAAAATGCTACACAATTGCAGTCGTGTTTCATTGTGTATCAATGCAGTTCATCAGGCAATTGTAAAATCATTCACTCATCAGTAATTTACATTCGCCTGATGAGATGCATTGATATGCATTGAAACACAACTGCAATTGTGTAGCGATTTTGACATGTTTTTGATGTAATATTTTAAAATAACACACACACATTATATATATATATATATATATATATATATATATGCTAGCTTGGAAAGACAGACATTTCAAGAAGCTCATAAATATGGTAACAAATCTAATTTAGGTAAATTAGGAAGATAATTGCCATCATTAGCAATTCCAGTCACAATGGCAATTTTTTCACTCCTTGATAAAATTCAGGTGTTTTTTTTTTTTTATGTAAAGAAATCTGAAAAACTTGAAATGATGCTTTTTTTTTGTTGTTTTTAATGTTTTTGTACCAAGAAAGTAGTTTTTTACTGAGTCTAGTGAGTGCAGAAGATAAGGTAAAATGTCGCAATCTGATGATTTTCTCATGGATTTATTTTGCTGAGTAAATTTAAGAAGGGCATCTTTTCTGTGCACCATTGACTCTTCCTTCAGTTGTTGACAATAAATATCTGCTAAATTATACAATGAATCTAGTGCATAATATCTGTAATGTTTCACAAAATCCTCAGGGTATAAAGTACCATTTTGTATGGTTGGGGTGATTTGAGGTTATAATAAATGCTTTATGGAAGCATAGACTATATTTTATGGAAAAAATAAATCTTGTATGTTGATGTAATGAATATGCATACACCTGGGTTCCCCCTCACAGTAATATGATTGGCTGGTGTCAGCCATAAATACAGACTGATGTGGAGGTACAGCGACTACACCTATTGCCTACCACTACGATGAGGACCAGTCCATTACAGTTACCTGCTAGTCTGTCTTACTCGGTTACAGTAGCGAACAACCACTTTGCTACTTCGAACAAATATATCCCTTTCCGGGACATATCATATGTTTCCTCATATATTTCTGGAAATATATTTTAAAGTGATTTTGTAAGGGAAAATGTATAATTTTGTGCATGTGAATATAATATTGAAACAGTATTCAGTGGAGTAATGAACAGTGATTTGGATTGAGAAATCAGAGAGCCGAGTTCGAATTCCAGTCGAGTTCATTGTATTCACTTACATGCAAATACCCTTGAGAAAGTCATGAATCCATTTTGACCACACAGCTATATGTAAATAGCAAGACAGACAGGGTCCTATATCCTTAGTTGGTAACCAGTCTAGGAGAAGAAAAACTCAAACCACCTACTACCTTGTAGTTTCTTCCTCTTGGGAAAAGGCAAGATGAAGTTAATTTCAAAAACATTTAGTGTATAAATTTCAGAACCCATGTATATATAATATCCCTAAATATACCGTATTTGCTTTTGTGTAACACACACCCTCACATAAGACGGTCCCTACTATACAAGGATATTTTGTATGTTTCTTCATATACTTATTGAAATATATTTTAAAGTAGTTTTAATTTTAAGGAATACAATGCAGTAATGACTAGTGTACTTGGATTGAGGAATCATAGGGGTGAGTTTGAATTCCAGTTGAGTTCATTGTATTTGCTTATGTGGAAATGCGCTTGGGAAAGGTATGAATCTATCTCTTCTCCCCCCAGCTATTGATAAATAGCACAGCAGACTGGGTCATGTAGACTTGATTGGCAACTGATCTCAGAGAAGGAAAACTCTGTATTCAAACCACTTGCTGCCTTGTAAGTCCTGCCTCATTTGGCAAAGGCTGGATGAAGTTAACTTCAAAAATAAATCTGTCTCACATATCGTCTCAACGAAAGAAACTTATTTCAAGCCGCGACAAAAAGTAACAGACTGTGTCCTTTAGCCTTGAGTGGCAACTGATCTAGGAGAAGGAAAACTGAATACAAAACCTCCAACTAAATATCCTCACCAACCTGCACTTAGCCAAGAATGATGAGTATGGCAACAAATCTGAAAACATAGTCAGGGAGGGGTTCCTCCAAGGAGTGAGAAATATCTGGATTTGATCCAATAAGTTTCATCCCTGCTACCTTTATATAATGCTTTTATTCTTTAACTTACAGGAATAATTTCTCGTCTTTATTTTCAATTGATAAACATTTTACTTAATTTACTAGTTAGACTTCATGTAGAAACCAAATTCCTTTCTTAGACTGTTTTCCAATTTACCTGATATGTTTGTGTTTCGTTTACATGTTGAGTCTTCACTATTTACATTATTCGGACTATTGTCGTCATCTTTGTCGCCATATTTATTACAACGTTTTGGCCGTTGTACGCACCAAGCTTCTTCAGGAGGTTGGAATGTCAAACTTAACCCTTTATTTCACTCACTGGGGTAGACTGTTCTAGTTCCACATGCCATGCATTAATGGATGTCAGTTATCAGTTATCTCCAAGTTCTCCAGGAGATAACTGATAACTGATAAATAGTATACATAATACTTCATCTCAGAAATATAGACAAATGAGTCTTTTTGAATCTTTAACAAGGAATAAGGCTTATCCCCAAAATCGCATAAATTATCACTGGAGCTGAAATTGTCTATGATTTTTGGAAATCATTAACATTCCAAAATTTATTCATAAAAATCAATTCATCCTTTTAATTCCTGATGCTGTTATCAAATTCTTTCAGCCAATCCATTCTCTGGCTTTCTTGACATATACAATTCCTGAGGAAAAAATGACTGTCTGATTTTTTTCTTTAGAAAACAAGATGGCAAAAAGAAATAATTACTAATATACCAATCAGTTTGATTAATTTCCAGCAAAGTAAGTCAAATTGATATTACCACTGACTGCTACCTTTACAATAAAGGTGAGACTAATATATAGATAGATGAGAGTATTTATCAAGCAGTGCTTTGTTGAGCCAATGCACTGTAATTCATAGTAGAGTAACAAGCTGATATATGCATTTAAAAAAAACAAATGCTTTCATATTTCTAATACATTGCAGTCTTGAAGGCTGAAGAATAAATCTGCTGATGTGTAGAGGAAAAATCTCAGGAACACAGCGAAATTGTCTGAAAAAAATTCTTGGATATATGACTAGCATTTGCATATAATGCAAATGTACCTGAGTATATAGCACAAATACCCTTAATTATCTATGTTGCCTGACTAACATATTGAATTTCTTGCTATATGAAATGGCAAACATGTCATTCATTAAAGCTTTTGTTTCCAATGGGGTTAAACATTATTATAAAACTATGTCACACAGTCTAATAGAACAGATATTAAAGGAAATGTATATTTTTTTGTTTATGATTTAAACTTGATTTTGGAAGTCATTGATGGTTTTCAAATTTGCTCATTTTAAATGTAATATATTCTGAGATGTGTGTGTGAGTGTAGTGTAACTTGAAAATATTAATGTGTGTTCTATATATTAATATATAGTCTATATATATATATATATATATATATATATATATATATATAAATTAATATATTATATATAAATATAAATTAATATATTATATATAAATATAAATTAATATATTATATATAAATATAAATTAATATATTATATATATATATATTTATATAAATTAATATATTATATATAAATATATATTTATATAAATTATATATATATATATATATATATATATATATATATATATATATAAATATAAATTAATATATTATATATAAATATATATTTATATAAATTAATATATTATATATAAATATATATATATATATATATATATATATATATATAAATATAAATTAATATTATATATAAATATATATTTATATAAATTAATATATATATATATATATATATATATATATATAAATTAATATATTATATATAAATTAATATATTATATATAAATATATATTTATATAAATTAATATATTATATATGTATATATATATATATATATATATATATATATGAATATAAATTACTATATTATATATATATATATATATATGAATATAAATTACTATATATATATATATATATATATATATATATAGGTAACTACACTTGTCTCAGAAAACCTTCGGTTTCTTGATTTGCTAATGGTCAAATCAATTTTGAAGGAAAAAAATTTTTCAAAAAAAGTAAGAGCTAGGAACATGAACATCTGTCGAAAATAATCATACTGCATACAGGTCCAAAGCCCAAAGAAAAAACCCCGATACAAGTAATCAACTAAACCCCCAGCCTTCCCTGACAATCCGCTTAGGTGACACCTTGGTAGGTTTGTCTGGCTCTCTAGGTTTGACTATATATATATATATATATATATATATATATATATAATAATATATAATTCATGAATCATTCATACGAAAAAAACAAATATAGGGTTAATGATTTAAATGATCATAAATCGCAAACTATATAAATATAGTTTGGCACGATGTATTCTTGCCATTTAAAGCATTAACTCTATATTTGTTTTTTGTATGAATGATTGATGAATTTATAAATTATATTTGCACCTTTTTAATTGAAATTAAATTATATATATATATATATATATATATATATATATATATATATATGTATGTTAATATATATTAATATATGTGTGTGTGTGTGTGTGTGTGTGTGTGTGTGTGTGTGTATAACTTGATTTTGGAAGTCATTGATAGGTTCCAAATGTGCTCTTTTTAAATGTATTCTGAGATGTGTGTGTGTATAGTGTAACTGGTCTCAGTACAGAACATAGAATGAGTGGATCAAGTTCAAATTCTAGCTTAGTTGTGTTCAATTTCAACCAAATACACTCGAGAAAGGCATTATTATATCTCCTTTTCCCATCCAATTATGGGTTAAATAATAGGGTAGATTGAACTCTTTAGCCTTGGTTAGCAACCAGTCTAAGAGAAGGAAAGCACTAAATTTTCAAAATTTGGAGAAAGCAACAAGAAACTACTCCACTATCTTTCCCAAGAAGGCATCGCAATTACTAATATTAGTATTATTTATCAGCCATAGCTTACTGGCTATTTAGTGTTAAGAATAATGTGTTTTAGCTTTCCAGTAGTACACCGATACTAATATTAGCATTGGCATAGCCATTGAGACACTAACACTGAATGTGAATATAGAAAGACAAGATACATGACCGTAACAAACAAAACATTTAATAAGGCAAACAACTTACATACATATATTAAAATGGTTTACATATGTCCCAAAACAAATAATTGTTCATACTGTCCAAAGGGATGAGGATGTTTACAGAAAAAGAACAAAGAAATAACATACTAACTTTATGGCCTTTGATCGTTCACAGATAAGTGAATAGAAATTACTTTTTTCTTTCACAAGGCCACGCACATGTTGACCGGTTTCCACATGTGTGGACGCACTGGTGGTCATGAAGGTAAAGAGGCCATTCCTCGAAAAAAACAGAAGGAGAAAAAGAGAACAGAAGTGTTCCTCTTTCTAAAAGGGCCAAACTCCCATGAGCTCAGACCAAGGGAAAGCAACTGTGGTCTCCCTACACAATTAACAGATAATAAACAAAAGGAAAATCTAGAAAGC